ATGGGAATCACTTATCAGTCAATTCCGCTTCTTTTGCTCCGCCGCCTCAAACAATATATAAATAGGTGCAGAGTAAAATGCGAGCCGTCAGCACGAGTCCTTTATAAACGCAGGAGGAATCCAAAAAATTTATGAACAGTAATTATTTTTCCACTACAAAATCAAGTCTTTTATAAATATTTCCAACCACAAATCCCTTACCCTTAAAAAATACAAAATACATAATGTATGAAAGTGAAAAAGCTCTGTTTTATTTCACGCATTTATAAAATAACCATGAGTAAAATTTTACATATTTTTTTCCACCCCTGTATATCGCACGATTTGGACGTATTTTTCTTAATGCCTGGAAAATTTCCGCCTGCCTTATCTCCGCGGGAACAGATCGGTGAGGTTATATCGGCGTTAGTGTTCGACCTTTTTTTTACGCGGAGATAAGATTAGAACGAGAGGCGACCTCTTTTATTTACGAGTGACTTTTTTTATTTATTAGACGTCACTTTTCGGGCGCTGGACCATAAATTTTCAGAGGCATTATCAAAAAAAAAAATTGTGAATAGATCGGCTACCATATTCTTCGATATTTAAGAAATTCGTTGCTATATGGCCTCATTTTTTTATGTTATTTTTTTTTGGCCAAACTACAAGGCACGTACCACAAAAAAATACAGTACTTCTTACTAATTGCATAGTATTTTTTTATTTTAATCTTCAATTTTTTTTCATATTTTGATTGGCTTTTTGGACACTCTTTGGTTTTTAAAGATAGGTGATTAAAAAAACAAAATAACATATAAAGGCCAGTCAGAGCAATTGAGCAGTTACGTCATAGCATGAAATTTTTATTTAGTTATGTCAGCCTATTTCTTTTTTTTTAATGGAACACACTTTATATTTTATTGTACATGTTTTCATGATATTGCAACAACATAAAAATTGAAAATAATAAGAATTATTCTCGTATTTCCAGCAACAATAAAAATAAAATAATTTTTTACTATTCTATTTATTAATATTATTTATGACATTTAACCACAGTTCCGGATTGCCTCTTAACTGATTGGTTGCTACTACTGCTGAAGTTCGTGCTCCCAAAAGAACGAATCGATTAAGTTGGTGCTGTTGGCTTTTAAAAAAGGCGCACCATCCATTTGGGTTGATATATTTAGGGCTTAATCTTCTAAATTTTGTACTGTATTGTCGTAAAAACATTAATAAGGGAATATTTTCATGATAACTTTTTTTACCAAAAATGTTTTCGCAATTTTGGATGACGATGTTTGTTATTACCTTTTTACTTTAGTGCAACGGCCAGCATTATTCGATTTCAAGCTAAAGTAGACTTTGATTCAAAAATTTAGAAAAAATACATACCTTTTTTGTCTTTACAATCAACAAGTTCGCAATAATAAATCAATATTATCAGTAACTGAGCAAAATGTTCTAAATTCACTTGAATACATTTCCTCATTCCCCCAACCTTTTCATGAATCTTCTGCAGAAGATCCTCAGAGTCAACGTTTGCTTGAAGGTGGTAGACACTGATTCCACTGTCTTTATTTTTAACTTACACAACGTTGTGTGACATCGACATCCTTTTAGTATTTTTATCCTCATAGTCCTTATAAATCTATGTTTTTCGATTGGCACCAACAATAGAAATGCAGGGGGTTGAGTTCTACGAGCTGACCAAGAAATGCGACCTATTCCTCTATATGTAAATTTTGCATACAGGAAATCTCGAGCAATCGAGTATAATACCCCAACCTGCATCTGGCATATGGTTTGGTTAGTTGGCAAAAATCAGAAATACTCTTCACAGTTATGTTCACTTGTTCCTAAGTGAGATGGTTTCTACAACTGAAAATATCACGTCTAGTAAAAGTGGTTTCGTCCGTGAACAATATCTTTCTCAGAAAAATATCGACATTTACTTGTTTTTCTAATAACAAGATATACAAAATAAGTCTTATTTCAGGATTTTTACCCAATTTGACGTGAATAAAGTTTTGCAAGATACTATGCTTTGGTTGCTTCCAACTGGAGATTTGGTCGGCATATCTTCTAACTGCTTTACACAGACACGGAAAAACAACGGAAAATGTACTTCGCTAACTTTTGACATTTGTTGCTGAAAGCTATAGGTTTCATCTTATAGGTTTCATTTTATCGAAAACTAAGAGTTTTCTCGATATTAAACAAATGCCTTTTTTCTTAGAAATAGCCAATTTATCAGATTTTTTATCCAAAATTTCCAAAAAAATTCGGGTGAAAAAGTTATAATAAAAATATTCTATTGAAACGAGTGAAACTAGCGCCCTATACAAGCAACCTGGGAAATAAGTTCAGATTCATTTTTTTTATTTATTATTTCATTTTCTTCAAAACTGACGAAATTATTGACTAAATATGCATTGAAAATTAAACTTCACCTTTGAAACGAACAACATTTTATTGAAGCATTTTCGGTTCAAACGATGTAATATTGACGTCTATTTTTTTTTAATTTTATTAAGTAGTTAACAAAACAGTTCCAGTAACAGATTACAATACTTCTATTTAACTTAACTATTTAGGTTGGTACGCCGTCTTGGAAGGACAAATAAATTTCTCCTTTCAACATTAAAACACGGACCACATTTCAATGCGGCTGCAACTTTTCTTCATGTTTCTAACACAGCATATTCAAATTCAATTAAGGAAGTCTGATAACAGAGATTACAGATATATTCACCATGTTTCTTATAATATAAAAATCTTAAGAATTTCTTCTGCACTTTTTCCATCTGGTTTTGGAATAATAAGGCGACCAAACTATTTCAGCGTACTCAAGTATACTTCGAACAAATGCATTGTAGAGTATTTATAGGTTTTATTTCGGTAATCCTGAATAAGTTTCTAATTATAAATCTTAATATTCTATGCGCCCTATTCACTATATTGATTATATGTTGCTCAAAATTAAGTTTTTAGTCCAACGTTAATGCCACGTCTTGCGACTCATGAGTTATTATTAATAATTTATTGTCAATGGTATAGGAAGAATGAACGTCCCGCTTTATAAACAACCCCTTAGACAATCCAAATTTATGCAGTTTTGACAGCAATACATCGTGGTCTACGCTGTCAAATGTTTCAGCAAAATCTGTCTAAATTACATCCACTTGACTGTTTTGTTCGATTTTATGACTTGCTTCATGCACAAAGATCAAAAGATTTGTAGATCGTAGAACTTTTGCTAGAAGCGCAAATACGAGCTACTGGTCAATAATTTTGCAGATGGTTAAATACAGGACACACTTTTGTACGTTTTCACTGCATAGGCCTTCAAAGACCTTACTATCAAGACAAGCGTTAGTTAAAATAAAATCTGTAAAATTATGTAGTGTAGTTGTTTTATTTTTAGAGTGGACACTTAAGAAGTTATCTCGGTAGAAAAAATAAAATTAAGTTTACTTTTTGCGACATATGACCCAAAGGTTGAGAATTACCGGCTATTTCTCGAAGTATAGAATCTTTTCGACTATCTCGCTAGCGGAACGCATTGATTTCAGACTGATTTACGATCTCATAAAATTTGTTGACAGCTGAATCTACATCCCTACAAGTGTCTAACTTATTCCAACAGACCTGCCCAAACAAATGGTACGTCCTTAGAAAGTCAGCTTTTTTGTAGTTATATTTTTTAGTAAATCGTTTATCTGGTTGAAAACTCTTTTGAAAAATTTCAAGAATAAGAAACAGTGCTATATGAAGTTTCTTCAGCTGATGGGACATCGCTTTTTTCTGAAAAAATGTCAAAATTACTGATGATTTAATTCAGATATCTATTTGAGTAGTTAGAGATAGGATTAGATTGGTGAGCGTTTAAAATGTTAATATGGTCTAAACATCTCTCTTCGATGGATGTTAAATGTGTTTAAAATAAGATATATTAAAGATTCTCGCTAATATAAAGATGTCTTTTACACGTAACAATTTAGTTTCAATATATTTAAAAATTCTTACGTAAGATTCTAAAGATATACTGTCGAGATCACACAGAGGTGTGGTTAGTTTCCACTCATTACGGACCACCCGGTATAGATAATATACAGGGTGATTCACGTTTTACCAGAATATGGCGTCAAAGTTTGAATTATTTGTTAGCTTTTGTTTTATTGCTCTTAAGCTAGGAGATCTGGGCTAGCAAGGCTTTGGTTAAATACTAAGGGTAATGTAGATGACATGTGAAACTTTGTTGTAACAAGCCACTGGATAAATTTTTATTTTTTTCCGATGCCTTCCTTCCTTCGTAACTTTTCCGATTTGATATGATTTTTTCATATATATATATATATATATATATATATATATATATATATATATATATATATATATATATATATATATATATATATATATATATATATATATATATATATATATATATATATCCGTTCGCTCGTTGAACTCTGACTGAAATCCTGCAAATCCTGCATCCGACTGGAATCCTGCAGACGTTTCGCCAAAATCTCACTTGGCATCTTCAATGTTCTCACTCCGAAAACACTTCGAACACTGTTCAACGAGCGAACGGATGATATCCCGGAATATAGTGTCATCATGTATATATATATATATATATATATATATATATATATATATATATATATATATATATATATATATATATATATATATATATATATATATATATATATATATATCTCATTTTTATTTATCTTTTTGTTCTTTATGCAACTATTTTTAGGAAATATGAGATGTACATTCAGTAGTCGTCCCCATACCATACTGTAAAAGTGACTTCATCAATGCATATTAATTATTTGGAAATAATTTATTTAAAATGTTTTTAAATATTTTTTAAATCAGCGGTCTTAGGTTGATTACTAATGTTTGTAAATGTTTGAAAATTATGATTATTTCGGTTAGCTCTATCCATATCTGAAGTTAGTCTTATAAAACCTGAATTGCCGTGTGGATCGAAAAACACTTACCAATGATCCCGTGCTGTACCGTTTGGCTTTGCTGTCCAGGAACTCGTGGTAGTAAGTCGGTGGATTGAACAACATCAGGGGATAGTCGTAGCCTGAAAAGTAACGAAAAGAACGTAGGAAATCGTCGGTTAGAACGTCGCATACATTTTCCGACCGGTAGTGCGAGTCGGTGCGATAAAAATCGTTCGAATTTGCGTCGCCATTTATAACGACGTTAATTAACGCATAAAAATTGTTTTGCGGTTAAATTCGCGATCGAGGAAGAGGGAACGGCATTTTTTTGCTAATATAAATAGTCGAGGCGATTGCAATTTTCAAATCCCACGCGTCGCTGATGGAAATTTAATTATAACTTTTGATCCGTTTCAAGGATAATAAATGTACGGTGTTGTCGCAATGTGCGGGTAAATCTACCAATCCGGCACCTATAATTTCAAAGATTTTATTGGGATTTAAAAAATATATTCAATTTTGCCGATAGGCTTAGGTTTAGGTTTATTTATTAAACCTCAGTATACAAAATGTATGTGTAGCAAGTCAAAACAAAATCAACACACGCACATAAGCATAATAAAACAATATACGAATACAAGTACAAAACTCACGAAACAAATTTGTAAATGTAGACAGAATACACAGGCTTAAAATTTGAAATTTAGGTACTCATTAGTACTGTAAAACTAGTTTATTGTCAGTAGATTCTTGACAGCGCTCTTTAAAGAATTATTACCAAGGCGTTTTATATATCAAGGCAATTTATTTTAAAACTTCAGGTTTAAAGAATCGATTTATCAAGAAGGTATCGTTAAGGAATGAGTGTCAGACAGAAAAACTAAATTTATTGGGCTATTGTATATGAACGTAGATGGGAAAGTCATAGTGTGAATACTGGGAAAATGTGTTCTATAGGATTCTATATGGCTCATACTAAGAAGAAATCTTAGAGTTTCTTTTGAAGACGAAACACTGACTGCATAACTAGAACCACTCCATATGGTGACGCCGTAAAGTGAAATAATAAGTGGATAGATCTTGCGTTTTATTTCTAGTCTAGCGACACACTTCCACAGGTAATTGTGGTGTCGTCTGCAAACAGTGTAAACTAGTCGGGTTTAATAAAATGTGAAAAATCATTTATATAAGGAAAAGCAGCGAACCCAAAACCGATCCTTGTGGGACACCGTGACGCTAGGTTAAAAAAGAAGAGGTGGTCTACTACTTGCAATACCTAACTATGATTGACACAATTGAAGGCCTTTGATATATCCATTTTCTCCAATCTGTTATAAACAATCGCACGCATTGACTTTCCGGGTAAAAAATTCTCCTGTTCAAGGTATTGGGGAAACCGATGTTCCTAAAAGTTTGCAAAAAATAAATACATCAATTACATTTCCCTTTGATTCATTACATTTCTCTCAGTAGTGAAGATGAATATGGCATCTAAATGAAACCCAGAGTATTGAAATTATAATTTCTATTCGATATTGAGACAAAAAAAGAAACTCAAAAAGTTTGTAATATGTTTAATCTAAGATATCCAGAAAGGACCAATTACAAATCCACACATTTTATTAGAAACTAACATTACATTACTACGGAAATGATCCAGACCACAGACTACAGTTTTGTGAAACTATGATGGAAATGTGCAACTTAAATCCATTTTTTTATCGTCAGATACTGTTTAGTCATGACGTCAAGTTTTGTTTACATGGTACGATAAATAAACAAAATTATATGTATTGGAGTACAAATAATTGTCCACGGATGAGAGACAATGATTCACATTTACAAAAAATAAATGCTTGGACAGGGATTTTGAATAACAAAATTATTGCACCTTACAATTTCTTCAAAATGACTAAAGCTTAACTTACTGTCTTTCCCAAAATTAAATCAGCCTGATATGCAAGATAGACAGTTACGAGTGAGTTAAAAAGTTTACCAAACGTGTGGAATACTACCCTTTTTCCACGATCGTTAGTTTTTGAGTACATTTTTGAAAAACAACACGAAGCCATTCACTGGCATGAGGGTTAGAATTGTAAAATGTTAAAATTCAAGCCGTGCGGTAAAATCTCCGAAAACATCCAATTGCTCCGAAACCCGTGAGGTAATATCCCGGAAATCTCCGAAGTGTTTCGCACGCTAGATCGGTGTATAATTAGGTATTTTGCAGAAAGGAGTAGAAAATAGTATATTATGCAACAATTGTGGTAAGCGGCATTTAACTCACGAGCTTATCGGACACAAGCGGGCCGAGTATTGAATAAACGAGTGACTTAAAAAGTTTACCGAATGTGTTGCATACTCTACTTTTTCTACGACCGATAGTTTTTGGGTACATTTTAGCAAAACGACACTAATTCATTCACTGACATGACCGTCAAAATTGACAAACTTTAAAATTCAAAGCGTGGGAAATATCTCCGAAGACATCCGATTGCTCGCAAACCTGTGCGGTAAAATCCCCGAAGTGGCTCGAATTCCTGGGAAACGAAACAGACGTGGTAAAGTGACGCGTCCCACACGCTAGAACGGTGAGAAAAAATAATTTCTCTCACAGTTTTTTTATTCTTTTGTTCATAAAAAGTAAAAGTTAAGGATAAAATGAATTTGGTGCAAACTTCGAAAACGGATTTAAAAAAATTGTGTGTTTTAAAAAAGGAACATATACAACTTCGTAATTGGGACCCGTTTCTAGTGGACAGGTTTTGCGTTATATTGAATGGAAGTAAATGTATATATATTTTACTTACTATTCCTTATTAAAAAAACTAAAAAAACAAAACTAACCACAAACTTACGGCATAAAATATCGAAAATATTTATTACATATCAATAACATCAAATTAATATTAAAATAGTTTTCATTGATCTTAAAATGCCTAAATTGTCATAAGTCCCTCTGTGATATCTATAATCGAAATTGACGGCTGTATATACTACCTGCAGAACAAGAAATACCTTATATATCTCTGTAATTTTTGTGACAACTATGACTCCTCTAGGGTGTTTTCAAAAATTGCACGAATTCGATATTAATTGAAGGGGTTACGAAAGTTTTGATTTCAAAAACGACGGAACATTTTACAATGAAATTTTTCATACTTTCCAGAACATGTGACCTATAATCGACACTTTTTTTGATGAAAGAAAATATTAAATGAGACTTAAAAAGTATTCCTCATCAATAACTTTACCATAAATGAATTAAAATTTGAACTAGACAATTTCCCGCTAAAACGTAATGTGGACATTTCAAATGTTATGGCTAAAAGCCGCGTTTTCATTTTATTTATTATTTATTTAAAAATTTAAGGTACTTTAAAAAGCTCGTTTCCAATTCGTTAAAAGAATTGTACCCTAACCTCACTTTTGTTTATTATTTTCTTTATAATGCTTTCGTATATAGTGAAGGATATGGAAAACCATACGGAATGAAAAATGATGAGAGTTCAAAAAAGAATTAAAAAAAATGTAGTTCCGCATAATTTTGCTTGCACGACAGAAAGCGAACTCCTCAGACAATTAATCGAATGACAGTTGTAAAAACGACAAGGCAGAGTATGTCATCTAAGATATTTTAAGCGACGCCAGTACTTCAAACTCTACATATGCAATGTTCGGTAGGAGTAAAAATGAACCTGTGGAATAAAAGTTAAAGCAAATCAATTCGGCAATTCAAGCGATACTGAATTGGAATTGGTTATAAATTCTTTATAAATAACAATCACACAAAGGCACGAATTAAATTCAAATTCGAAAGAAGAATAAGCCTACTGCAATACTATTTAAAAATCTTCCGAATTTCTCTGCGTCGGTTGTTGATGAATCGAACTTGCTGACGTTTCGCCAATCATCCTGTTGGCTTCTTCAGAGCTTAACGGAAACTGACTCCATTCTACTCTGCACCTGATAATATATTGTTTGATAGGGGCGGAGGTAAATTCCCACATTGCTGAAAGGTAAAAACTTGAGCCCCGATTAAGATTGTTTGGTTGCTTATAGATTTCTATAAATTCTCGGATTTTTCGTTGCTAGAATTGGTAGATTATATGCAAGAATTTTGATGTTTTAAATGTAAGCAAGGTCAACGGTGGCAAGTATGGGGTTGCTTTCGGATTTATTGTATTTGGATGGTTGTGATGAAGTATTTTGTGATGGAATACTTAATATCTCTAACGTGGAAATTGTTACAGGGAAGAACAGATCTAAGGAGTATTAATTCTGGATTCGGTAACTGGGGCTCAGGCTTTTTCTCTATCAAAATCTGTGAAAAAGTGTGTCACCCCTCATGACTCTAAAATTCCTAATCTCTACGGACTCTCTGTGATTCACAGGATATTCTGATTAATTTTACTAATGTCTCTATTCCTGTAACTCTCCAGGTATATTAAAATCAAAGAATCGGGAACCAAACCATCTCATCTTAATTGAAACATGTTTGTCTGGAACATCTGTTTCTTATAACGGTAAAATTTTTGAGCAAACGTCGGGAAAAAATACGGGTTTTTCAGTTTTCGCGAATATATTTAAAGAAGCCTTTGAGAAGAAAACCCCCGACACCTTGCATCTAAATAGAAACGCTACTTATGTTATTTCGCCTCATGGTCAAGAATCCCTAAGAGATTTTCTTAACCATTTCCCCAATCTCCTATTCTTAGTGCATTATTACATGACCATCTGGTCCAACAATCGGTTATCAATTCTCTTGTTACCACAGCAGTAAAACTATTTCAACCCGAGTCACTGAACCCAGAATTAAAACACCTTAAATCTGCACTTCTCTCACTTCGCCACAACCTTCCAAAAACAATGAGTCTGGAAACAACCTGATACTTGCTACTGTTGTCCTTCCTAAGATTCAAAAAATCACTGGCCACATATTACAAGTACTTAAGAAATATAACGTGCACACCAGATTTACTATCCTCTACATCTTCCATCTGTCAAAGACCAAACTCCATTTAAGATGCCAGGAGCTTACAGCATTCCATGCATATTCTGCGAAGAACACATTGGAGAGACCGGACGAAAAGCATCAACTACGCTTGAAGGACATAAAAAAGCCTTAAGACTATGACAA